ACCCACCCAGCTCTGGCTACCTTTCAGGAATGCCCCCTTTCACTTCCCACGGGCTTGAATCTTCCCTATCTCCCCTTGCAGACAGGTGGAAAACCCAGTAACTTGCATTACTGCTGTTTGCACACAGAGCTGAGAACAAAACCACTGAATTTTAGAATAAATCCTAAAGACTTTGCTGGCTAAGCAGCTTGTTTCTCTATATGGCTTGAAGTGGTTAATCACCTTTAAATAACTGACATACCTGTTGCAGAGCCATAAATTTGTCTTTGAACATGCCTTTTAGGTCCACTTAAGCCAACCTTCAATTTGTCTTAAGACTGGTTGTATTCTAACAGTAGTCTATTACTAAACACTTAGCAAGTCTTAGACCTTTCCTTGTCTAAAAGTTCTTCCATGTGCTTATTAAAGAATTTTTTTTTAGGTTTGTCTTCATTTCTTCTGTTGAGAAATGACTGTACAAATATTTCAAAACGCTACCCTGCCTAAACTCAGTCAGATTTTTCTTTTGTCATGCTCAAAATATTGGATTCTAAAGGCTTTTAAAAAGGGAAGGAAGGGAAGACTCAACATGGCTCTTGCTCCTGATGGAGACCAGATAATGTTTTCCCATAATGAGCAGCAGTAGCCTGTCTGCATGACCGATGCTCCTGGAGTTTAACAGGGATTTGGGCTTCTGTGGGAGATAAAGCATTAGAAGGAACTGAAACCAGTTTGTATTCATAGCAGCCTCTAACCTGCAGACTTTGCTTCAGGCATCGCTGCCCTAGTGAGGTGACAAACTACACTCGGTTCCAGACGGAGGAAGAGACTAAGCGTTAGCCAATGTTCTTTTACTGACAAATCCCACAGCTCTGCTAGGCTATACCTGTAATCTTAAAAGCTTTATTCTCTGCTGTCTTCAGCCTAGAAGTTTTGGGGGTTTGTTTTGGGTTGTTTTTTTTTGGGGGGGGGGGAAGGAATGCAGTTCCCTTTGCAACTTCCACAAACTCCACTATGAAAATGCAGCAAACAGACCAACCCCCATAATGGACCTACAGCTTTTAACTTGTCTTATTGTTGTATGACCTAAGTAACAAGAAACTTCGGAGTAGAACTTAAATGGCAACATTATAACACTTTAAAGAAGTTTAATCATCTCTGTTACCAGTTCTAAGGTAGTGCCTTGGGTAGTACCTTCGAAGCTGCTGAGTTGGGGTTTCTTTCTAGTTTAAAAAAAAAAAAAAATCGTACCTTCAAATATGTAAAAGCAAAGGACAGGGATTTCACTCCTGTGAAATGGGCTGGAGTCAGTCAAGAGAAAGGGAGTCTTTATACAAACAGTAATTGAATACTTGTGGTCAAGTGACAAATCCAGACTTGCCCCTGGAACTTCATACCTCCAAAAGGCTTTATTTTTAGACACTTACAGAATGTACACTTGTAGGCTTTGCCCAGTTACCTAGAAAACATGACAGGTCGGTAAAATGATTGTCACAAAAAAAACCCCAAACCACCAACCCCAAGTAAACTTTGTAACCAGAATGGGGACAATTGATTTGCTCATGAATTTTGCAGAAAGGTTGCTGTGCCAGACTAGAAGTCTATGAAACACATTAAAGTTGCTGCCTTCAGGTACAGGAAAAAAAATACACAAAAATCCTCAAAGAGAAAGGGCAAGGAACACTAGTTTGGGGGTTTTTGTTTGGTATTTTTTAAGTTTTCAGTTAAACAACCCTTCACCTGCATTTGAACCAACCTTGGCACATATGTTCTATCAAAAGCAAGCTTAAAACCCAATCTGTAACCACCTATTAGTAAACATTCACCTTTAACCATAAATTAGAAGCCAGTGGAAGGATGTGCCAGTAACATTCATACTTAATTATTTATTTGGTTTCCACATTTAAGTAAGCCTTCAAGGCCAGAGTTACATTATTACTAGCGTTAAGTAGGAAAAGGAGTAAAGAGCCAAATCTGCAGCCGCACTTGCATCATTCCATTCATGCCTGAAAGAGCAGTCGGACGACAGTGATGGCGGGGTTTCTCCCCACAGCCTACACTTCGGTCTGCAACATTAAAACGGGAGAGAACCAAGACTGCAAGAAGGACTCTAAGGCCGCAGGACTTCATCACAAACGCACTCTGAGCTTCATAAATGAACTTCAGCAACACTTCAGTACTGAGCTGGTGAATTACTGAGTAACGCTTCATGGAAAAACTACACAGCTTTGTCCTAAAAAAAATAAAACCAACCCCAAAGCAGAGCCAGGAAGACCATTATATTCAAAGTACTAGGTCTTGATCTGTATTTTGTCCTATTCTGCACAACAATGCCTGTATTTCCTGGAGGAAATAAAACCCCACAAACGTTTCTTGCAGAGAAAACAATTATCAGAGAGACTCAAACAAAGCATAAGTAAGGTTTAACTATTCTTTGACCTTTACAATGAAGATAGTAAAATCAAACTGATTTTGCAGGAAGAAAAAAAATGTTAGAAAATAGCCTTAGAACTAAGATATTTAAAGTGAAACAAGACCAGAAGCAGAGTGCCAAGCTGCTTTTACATGCTGTGTCCAACTCTGAAGGATAGAAAATTTAAACCTTAGCCAAGGAAAAGTAGATCTAGCTTGATAAAAAGATACAAACAAGTACAAGCACGTGAAAGGATAACTCTGTGGTCCTTAGTGGAAATTCAGGCTGTTCAGATCAAGTAACAACATGGTACTTTTTTTTTTCTTTAAATCAAGAAGGTTTAAAAAGAGATTTCCTGCCATAATAAAGCATTTTTGGGAAGTGGTGTACAAATGAGGCAGAAGTGTCAAAACAAATGACTACTCAAACTAGTTTAACACTAAGTCTAGCCTAGGAAAACAAGTCATATATTAAACTGGAAGTGTATTTTGTTTCTAAAGATGATAAGAAATAGTCCCTTTGAGTCCCTTATGTTGCTTAAACAAAATTTAACACATTGTCAGTATCAACCTGCCTGTCATTTTAGTTAATAGTGAATTTTGACCAAATGATTGACACAAATGTTACAAGGATGAACGCCTCCATAAAATTATTAATTGCACTGAAGTTTTGAGGGATCTGATGTTATTCTAAATTATTCTTCGTATGTGTCAACTTTTTATAAAAATGAAAGCTAGTGTGCTTTAAAGCACTTTTTTTAGGTTGTCAGCTTTAAATCACTAGTGACTTTGTATGTAGGATGAATGAGGTTAATTTAGATCCACAAGACACCAAAATACAGGATTAAGTCTACGCAACATACTGCTGCCATAGGACGACAGTTTTGTATTCTTCAGTTACCATGAAGTTGCTTCAAAGCAAAACTCATCCTTTACCCATCTTGCTGTTCAGCCAATCCTAAATCATAAAGGTAAGAATTTGAGTATTGTTCTTTTAAAACAATTCAAAAAACCCAACAAAACAACAAAACTTCACGTAACTTCACTGTGATGAAGCTTCACTGCATTTCTTGCAGCAAGGGAAAGGAAAAGGCTGCACTTGGGTTAGGAAGTCACGGCATATGCAAAACTACCCTTCTTTCTCCAGTAGGAAGTTTCTACATAAACCAGATACAAGCATGATAAACAGCCAATGCTACAGCTATGCCAGATGTAGCAACACTAACAGCTGTAATGAGAGAAGAGCAGAGTAACTCACGGCAAGCGTTAAAAACCTCCAGCCATGATTTTGTACAGTAGAAGCTGTAACACATAGTACCTGTATTTTTATGTGGAAGCCTGGGAAAAAAAAATATTTATCTATCTGGTTGTCCTATCTGATTGATAGTTGGGTAAGCCTTCTTTTCCTGCTCTGCAGCTATACACGTCTTGGTGCCATGATGAGGTGCAACAGCTGGTGCGAAAACTAAAAGTGAAAGGCATACTGTAAGTGAAGGGTAGTGTAAAACCTTTTATAGCAAGATTTAGTTAAAAGAAAAAAAAATCCCTAGTGGAGCATCAAGATAAAGAACTGGTGCTTACGTACTCCTAGCTCCTGTCCTATGCAAGAAAGCTTTTCTTTATCCCTTGGTAGCTTCCACTGTTCCATCTAAAACACATATTTTTGTGGTTAGTTACACTAGCATGCCCAGCATTTCAGCAGTGTTAGATGATTAGCAGACACTTCTTATAGTACTAACGTGCAAACCAAAGTCTGGACACTTGCACCAACGCTCAGCTTATAAGGATGTGACCTAAGCAGAAACCAGTGCTTTACTGAATTACAGTCAGCAGCTGAACAGCCACACACCGAACTGGATTGTTCAGCCTGTACAAGAACCTGCAAGCGTAACCTAACTTCTATGGAGAAATGGCTCCAGTTCCGCTACTTCTGTGATAAAACTATTCTTTTCCAAGCTTGGGCACACAAGGAACAGAACTCAACCTGCTTTCTAGGACACGTGAGTTACACATGATTCAACGGAGGATTTCTGTTTATTTGTTTCATTTACATCAATATAAATCTCTTTCAGTCAAATAGTAATAAAAAGGAAGTAGTCCCTGGAATTTCACAGTTCAACAGAATGTATATATAGAAATCCGTTACTGTAGACTGATCACAGGTGAAATCTGCAAACAGAGGTACAGATGTAAGCCATAAAGCTGCAAGTCATGAACTTAATAGCGTCACCGTTAGGAATTTAGCAGAACAGACGGTGAAATTTCCCACGTATAGATCTCCAGCGTTCTTGTCCCATTAGTGCCACGAGACATACTCCTTTTACTGTATGTTACACAATTTCCTATAATGCTTCTCCTTCCTTTACATCACTTACTTTTTTCCCACCATAAATGCACTGGCATAGGTTTATTTTTTTAAATACAGCTTACCTAAGTAAGTCTTCAAGATTCTTCAAAAGCTGGAACTTGAAAGGAAAAATAACACCACGAGGACAAAGAACAGTATTAATAGCGGTGGATGTTTTATATCCAAGACTTCTTCCCCTTGCTTTGTATTCCATCATATTCCAGCTCTGCTTAACAGCTTCTACATAAAGTCTGACAGCACATTTGGTATCGTACATGCTTTATTAAAATGGTACTCGTATTTACAATATCTGCAGAAACAATCCCTCCCAAGTCTTGCATTCAGACAGACACGCACACATACACACGCGCGCACGCCCCTTCCCTCTACCGGGGTGTGAAGGCTATGCTCCCAAAAGTTAGGCAGCTTCTGGAAGAGGAGGAAGGGTGACTTTTTTGTGTGTTTGTAATTACTTAAAAAGAAGCACGGGAGTATGCATTTGGCCATCACAATGCTAATTTAAGTATATGTAGTATTAACATATGGCAGTAACACTGTGTATTCCTCTTTTACATTCTATACACAGAATGACATCCAAGGTTTTCCAGTCAACAGAACATTCTAACTTCAGTCTCAATGCTGCTTGTAGTGACTATGAAACCACAATTTTGGGGCTGTCCCTTAAAACAATTCAAGTCTATGTAAGCGAAATAAGGCACAATTAATATTTGATTTGATTTGATTTAGAGGATGGGAAAAGGGGGAAGAGGCAGGCTTCAGATGATAACAGTTGTTGCAGAGGAAACAGTTTTACTCAATCCTTTTGGGAAAAGGATGAATTTTACCCCCATCCTAATCTACATGGACTTCTCGTAGAGAACTGAAGGATTCTGCCAGGGCTACTAACGCCCACATACGAAACAAAATTGGAAATCCACATTTCAACACCAGTTTCAGTAGTCTAACCTACTGATACTGATGTACATGAGTATGTCTTTCTTTAATGCTGAAGGAGAAGACACACATGAAACAAGATTCAAACCTTCCACTGAGCTTGAAGACTCACGTCTTATAGAGAGCTTGTAACATATACTATTTGAAGGCTTCAGCTTACCGATAAAAAGGAATAGCGATTTTGCCTTTAAACCCCTGGCCCCTCTTCACTAACGAAGCCTAACCAGACATTACAAATAAACTGCAACAAAAAGTTTGGCAGCACAAATAATGTCTAGTATTCAAATCTTCATTTGTGAGTATATTATTTTCCTTGTACAAAACCTGTTGAATGTTTTTCGCAGCAGATGAACTGTACCCAAAGATGCAGGACATTCTGTGATGGGGAATAAGAGGTTGCAGTTCCGAAGGCCCCTGACTTTGGTTGTTTACAAAGTTCATTCCTGTTTAGTGTGATCCTTGGTATCTTCCTCATCTGTGTATTCTGATGGTTCTTCCCCTGGTTTTAGGAGTCTACCTACGTAGTCGTATTTTTCTGAAAAAGATTTATGATTCCATTACAATCAAATACAGCTGCATTTGCTAGTTAGCCTGCACTGCTGCAAATTCACTTTTTCTCCTATACACTACAGTTCTGAACCTGAATCACTGAAATTGATGGCAATTTATCAGCAAGCTCAGCCTCCTAAAATAATCTTGCTACCATTGCTGCTCACTACTTTCTCTACTCTGAGTACTTTGTTTCAATTCTCCCGTACCTAACCAGGCAAGCTTTATCACACAATGGCTGAGAACACTGCTATTAAAACCGGCACAAATTCCCTCAGCCTGTTTTGATTTCAATTAATGTGCCCCCTCCCTCCAGAGGCATACTTCCATGCTTTTGAGAAATCATTTCAAGACAAACTTGTTCAACCCTTCATGCCAAAACCACTCTTAGTCCTCATAGTAATTCTATGGCATCCAAAGCCAACAACCTGCGAGCAGGAACTCGATCAGCTAAGCTACGCTGAGATTCGAGAGTGAGATTCTGTGCTGAAGAGCTGAGAGGAGAACAGCTTTCTTGTATAAAACTAAAAGGTTGAAAAAGCTATAGCGGGATATAGTGGAATCTTCTCTATGGGAGAAAGGCCTGAAATCCCATGTCTTTTCCTAAGAAAGTTACATTGCATTGTTAACGTTACTGTCAACATCTCTTTAGAAGCCGCCCCAAGCCCAAATCAGTCATTTTTATTAAAAGCATTTCCTTAAGCTAAAGATGTGCTGCTAATTTGAGAATTTACCTTTAAATTGCATTTCCCACTCTCTTACACTTTCCATCTGTACAGCATTTAAGTCCGATAGGTCATCATATTCATCTCTGAGTGCATCTTTATCTAGACAGAAAGTTGCTAGTCCCCTGGAGGCATCTCTGCCAGCAAATATTCCATATGGGCCCTCTGAAAACAAAAAGACAAAATCGATACCTTCAAGTCTTTGTTTATGGTGAGCAATCTCAGTTCTTTTATATAGTCTGCCAAAGCCACACATTAAACTTCTGCAGTGATGGTAACAGCAGTAGTTTCAACGACATGGCTGTTTGACATTCAACAGCACTGCAATTCAATCTTAAGCATCACTAGGAGATAAAGTCTGCTGAGAGAAGCAGAACCAGGAAAATAGCTTTGAAGGGATATCTGGAAAAATCCCTGTCATTTGATGCAAGTCAGTTGATGTAAATTCCAAAGGGACTGGAGGCTGGAATTCAAAAGAAACGCACTTCTATTAAGCAAAACATAGAATATCTACAAGTCAGGCATGAATAGAAGCAAATTGTATAGACATCTTAATTAGAAATCCATTGACTTTCATCAATAAATAGAACTTAAAAGTGAAAATTAATAATTTCACTTCACTTATAGAACCACCACAAGTTTCTACATACTTGACAGTGCGTCTTTTCACACATTTCTTACTTCTGTGGAAACAACCTCATTTATTTTGGGTAGCAGATCACCCATACATCTATCCTGTATTGTTCTTGAAAACTGCACAAATCTTCATGTTACAAATGTAAAGCAACTACCTTCCTTGTGCTTTTTGACATGCAAAGCAGCACAAATGCGCTAATAAGATTTTGAGCAATGACTGTCAAATAAATATTACTACAAAGAGAACTGGATGATTTGCAAACCAACAACTTTCAGGATAAGGTTGGTAACCGGCTTTCCCAAATTTTAATGAATCTAAAGAACTTCAAAGATATTGTTATCTTAGATTTTCTTGACCTAAAAACAAATACTTTAATTCAGCTCAATTAAAAACAAAACAAAACAAAAAACACTTTAAAATTTTCTGCATTAACTGCAGCAGCTGAGCAACAGGGAAACGCCCAAGGCATTATAAAGAGTGGTCACTACTTGAAGATAAATAGGCCAGAACCCTTCTCTGGCTTACCTCTCAGAAGACGACAGCGGCCGTCAGCCTGAAGAAAAGGCAGCACCCATTGGCAAGAATGAATACAAGCAAGTGGCAACACACTGTCCTTTACCCCCTCTATGGCCTGCTGTAGCACCTCAGACCTCTTCCGCACCAGGACGAGCCACAGGAAATCATTCAGAGAGGCTGGCTTCCTCCCAGGCCGCTTGCTCCAGCCACCACACCTATCTGCTCTTGCCGGGCATTGACTGCAGGGTTGAGACAGAGGCTGGATGCAGCGGGAAGAACTCCTGAGGCAGGGAACCTGAGTACCATAGGATTAGAAGAAACTATGTCCTCACCAGAACTGGTGTCGTCTCTCTACCCCAGAGTGCTTGGCATTGTAAGTTGCTTATAGTCAAACCTGAGAACAGAAGGGTGTCTTGTATGCCAAAGACAATTCCCTGTCTCTCTGGAAATAAACAACTCATTTAAAAGCAAAATTTCACAAGAAGTACACATCAGAGAAAGAACTATCAACCGGAAGCTTGCACTGTACAAATCTGGCCGCAAGAGACAACCGTAATGATTAAGAGCATCTCTATGCTTGTCCTTTCAGATATTTAGCTCCAGGAACGGCATTCATAATAACTACCTCTGGGATCAGGGACCACATTTATGCCACTTAAGAGAAACAAAGTCAAGAGGGCTTGTGAACTCTCTTTTTCCTATTTGCATCCTGAATTAGATGTTTATTTGAAAAACAGGATTCGGAGACTGAAATCAATCCTATACCAAGATATTTAATCTATGCATTTTGCATGCCCAGTCACTTCCCATGAAACAATGTAAAAGGTAGTGATGGCCATCATTTGCAACATAACATAGAGCTGCTTCAAACAGGAAGTCTTGCTCCACTCCAAAACAGCTATCATTCAAGTGATCTAGTTTTTGATGTTCTGCATGAAGAACACAGGAGCTATAAACAGCTCTTACTAAGACCACACACAATCAGTAAATCCTTAAGAGCAACTACAAATTGCTACTTAACCTCCTCACCAACAGTATTTTGTTCCCAGTTTTTCCTTTCTTGGAAGTGTTTAAAACAAATATTTCCATAAACCCTACTAGCTATTTGCATAATGCATTTTTCAAAATTCTGGCTAACCAGAGTTAGAGAAGCACACCGTTCCCCTTCCCTTCTACCCTGCATTTAGTGGTTTATGGCGTTTTACAGCACCTGCTGAGATGCCAACCCTTGGTCCACCAGCCTGATTCCAATTATTTCTATTAAAAAGAGAATTACATTATATTTATCAGTATCAAGCCCTGAACACCCTTACATCTCAATACTATACTTAGCTGAAAGCATGAATGCTTTTAGAATATATCAGTTTGCATTAAGATTAATGGATGCAAAATTTCTGCAAATATATTGTAATGGCAGATGCTATTATACCAATTTTTTTTTTCTTTTCTAAAGTTGAATTCAAATGTTAGCATTCCAGCACGTTTACTACAGAAGTATTCAGGAGTCACAGAGAAACCATCTAGCCAGGTCCAAGCACTCAACAGAATGCTAACTAGTAAAAACCAGCCTTTGGATTTAGTAGATAGCATCTCAAATTCCAGCTCTGCAAATGTAACTTAGAAATGTGTCCCATTCTTTAATCCTTTACTAAAAGGCAAAGGTTGAATTAAGATTGTTTAAAAAAAAGCGCAAGCCTGGTTTCACCTTAGTTGCAGGGTTGCTAAAACAGAAGTTCAGAGATCTCAGTATGAGCAGTCTACTTCAAGATTTAAAGCTTCCATTTAGGTACTTTTACACAGAGATTAAGTACAGTATTTTATGTTAATATAGAATATACAGGTCTGGGGTTTTGCTATAAGCCCACGTCTATTATTCACTTTTATATAAATACTGGTGCAACAGTCTTAAAACGGTATTTTGCACATCAGTTCTCGTTGCGCTTGGAGAAGCAACCAGGAAGGTGCCAGCACCAGAACCCTGGCGAGAACAGGATTCTGAGGTAGAGGCATGAGTGCAATCCTAGACATGCTCCCACAGAGTTCTTTCATGACCAGAGGCAATTTACTTGGCAAGCCCTACCCATAGTCCTGCCTCTCTTTCCTTTTGTCTGCCTACCTATTTAGACTGGCTCCCGTTCTAAATAATTGATTGCACCGTGACATGATATACATACGGAAGAGATTGCAAGAAGAGATGCTATTAGCATAGGTATGTACACCAAACTGATTTTTCAAGACCCTATCACAAAATTTCAGTGGTTTTCTTTTGCTGTACCCCCAAATTAGCTATTTCATAGTCAAATATTTATTTGAAAAATTCTCCTTCCGCTCCTATTTGGCATCTCGCAACCACAAAAGGAAAGTCAGAGCAGTGTCAAAACCCATTAAAACATGTCTGCTACATGTTACTTGGCTACACCTAGCTACGAGCCTTACATGAAGGAAAACTTTGTTCCTTGAAGAATGCTGCTCTTCCCATCATTGCTTTCACATATTAAAACACTTTGTTTCAGAGCCTTTGTTTATTTTAGCGCTGAGACCAAACATTATCAAGACTACATATTTGCCTACGTATCTCCACATCTATACCACCACATTTATACACTGCCTTTTTCCCCTGTATAAAGTCCTCATTTACCTTACAACCCTACCTTGTGTTAAGTATGCCCTTCTCTAAGCTGCAACGCATGCAAAATGTTGCTACCCACCACCTGCAGATCCTCACTTTCTTTCAGAATCCAGTTAAAAATCTGGCCGCCTTGATGAATTTGTCATCTTGTTCCAGCCTGACATTCATCGTTATTCACAAATGAACTGGGCAGCTTGAGAATTGGCAAAATCGAAGTCTCTTCAGCCAGTAAAAATACCTTTCCAATTCCTGCACTCAGGATTTCTGCACCTCCTAGCCCCGTTTTGGTTCTCAAATTAAGATTTAATTTCTCTTTGCAGACACCCTAAAACAACAGCAGGCAAGGAAAAATAAATTTAACATTAAAGCACTGTATTTAAAAATTTGAGATATGAAGCTGTCCAAGCTGAAGTTTTTATTTGGAGCACTGCTTCTAGTCACTTGCTCCAAAACAGGTTAAACTGGATCTTGAAACAGCATGTGTTTCGATTTTCAACCAGTTTGGCCAATAGTTCCCCCAGCAAAACCTATGCCAGTGCTCAACTTTTGAGTAGATATTCTTGGGTTACCAAAGAGACTATCTGTCCATTTCAGTTCTATACTAGCTTTGCAGAACATCCCAGACTATTGCTCCAAGACTAGTAACGAAGGTGGACACTGCACACTGAACTTTGGATTGCTCCAACTATCAGCACAGGGACTGCACCACAGGTAACCGCATGTGGACTTTATATCTAATTAAGTGATTTGTAATCTAAGAATTGTATTCATTCTCACAAGGCCCATAGAAGTTCTCGGAAGAAGCCACACACGCTAACAAGGTTCAGTTTTAAATCAGCTTTGGTTTCTTCAAGTAGTCAAAAAACACTTCCAAGCAAGCACCAAATATGCAAAGCATGCCAGATGTTCTTTGCATCTGTGGGCTCCATGCAGCCACTGGAAATAAAACCCAGTTTTGTCTGAAGCTTAGAAATTCATGGACAACATTTCTTAAACTGCAGACAAGAATAAAGACTAATGTCTCCTTTAATGTAAGTTAAAGGAACAAAGGGAGACAGACCACGAAATTATTAACAGCTGCACTATTCTACCACTTTGTCTACCTTTTCCACTCCAAATCAAAGCGAAATCTCCACTGCCTGTTTAAAATTTTCCATCTGAATCCTGACAGGTGTTTGTTCAGTGTTGCATCTTTTATGAGGGAATGAAAACGCTACAAATTAGACAAAGCCATTTTGAGATGCAGCTTGAAAGCAGCAGCTTTCTAATAACATTTATCACTGGGAATTCAAGGTGACATAATTTTAACTTTACTGCTCCAGATTTACGTGAAAGGAAAGATGTGGGTCAATTTTAAGTTACAACTTGCATGGAAGGTAAGCG